ATTTCACCCATTTTACTCGTGATCATCTTAGCCTGGAAGGCCTTCACGAATCGTGTCGTTATGGAACTCACTCGCGGCCAGAAGCGCCCCCGGGAGTCTTCAGAGGAACTCGGAACCCCCGTACCGCCCGCCTGCGCCGCCACGACCCGGCGAGCGAACGAAGAAGAGGAGATTGCTAGTCTCTACGTAAGCGAAGTTTTTGTAATGAAGATAACGCGAAGCGCGTTCATATACTACGTAGTATTTTTTAAATCTTAGTTGCACCAAGAAAGCTGATAGTTACCAAGGGAACGAAAAGTATGCATGTGTCATGTATATTACTAGTAAGTAGGTACGAGACTCTTGCTCTTTGTCGACCTCGCGTGAATTCGTCGAGGTCACAACAACAAGTAGAGGACTACTATCGTCCATTCTAGCCTCTACGCGAGCTTGACCGTTGCCAAAGTATCAGTCGCATCTTCGATCGTGCGACAGAGGCGGTGCAGCTGGTGCTTGGCGTCAATGAGGCTCTTTTCGCTCAGCGCCGTGAAGACGCCCGGGAATAGCGTCACGTTGTAGTCGTTCCACACCGACAGACCATAAATCGACTAGGTACACGAGTCACAATTTGCATGGCACAAACACACCAGAGTGACGTACGTGCTTCATCCACGGCTTTCCCGGGAGACCTTCCGGGAACAAGAACGCGCGCTCCGTCATCATGAGACGGTTGTTCATGTCCCGTGCCCGCTTGACGTCGACAATCATCTGACCGTTCAGCACGTCGAGCATCTCGTCGGACATTTGCACAATTTCCTAATCGCATTTGAACAAAGCCATGCGGGCAACAAAAATGCGGCTACCTTGTTGACGTTGGTTGCGACCTTTGTGAAGGCAACGATCGCGCGCTCGAGACGGTCGAGGTTCAGCGAAAATGCCTTGTACGTCGAGAGGACTGAGACGAGCTGCGTTTTTCCAGCGCGGAGGTCCTTGGCATACTCGACAAAGTCGTAGGGCAAAAACACCGAGTCACTGAACGAAAGCATGATGCTACCGTAGAGCTATCGCAACCACAAACGAATCAGCACCAAGCACTCCAGTGTAGTATACCTGGGCGGCGGCGCGATGAAACGTAAAGGACGGATCACCATACGCCTTCATCCAGTCGAGCGTGTCGTACGACGTATCGTCGATCGAGTCGATGCCAGAGTCAAACGCAAGCTCAACGACGGGCACACCCAGCCGGACGACAAAAGGCGACAAGAGGTGCGTCGTCCCGGGCGTCAAGATCGACGGCGTCACGGCGGTCGGGTCCGAGGCTTTCGTGGCCTTGAGCCAGTAGTAGTAAATCGAGTCCGAGACTGCGTTCGTCAAGTCTTCCCAGACCAGTGTCGTGTTGCCGTGGATAAACGACGTCGGGCCAGAGACCGCACCCTCGTCCGAATGCAGCGAAATGTTGCTGAGAATGCTCGACGGGTTGAGCGTATCACTCGGATTCGTCTCGGGCTGCGCAATGCCGAGCGTCGCGTAGAGCAGCGCCGTGCGCAAGCTCGAGCTCGCTTCAACGGTCAGCGCACCGGGGCCAATCACCGCGTCACGAACGTTTAGAAAGACGACGGCACGCGCCGCAAAACTCGACGAGTGGCGATCTATCCACTCGGAGGTGCCGACGTTACCATAGTCTTCCGCGTCCACGGACGCCAAGAAGAGCGTGCGGTGGGGCGCCCACCCTTGACTCAAAAGGTTCCCGATGCCACGCAGCATCTCGATAAAGACCGCATTGCCACTGCACACATGAGTCATACGCGATGATTGACTATAAGAAATTGTACCTGCCGGGGGAGATGGCGCCGGACGTGATCGAGTCGCGCTGGCTCGCAACAAGCACCATGCGGTCGGCTTCGCGCGTACCCTCGAGCAAGATGACGACGTTCCACGTCTTCTTGTAGCTGTACTTTTGCTACTCCCCCAGACATAAGACTGGAGAAGACACATAGCGAGTCCGTACAATGTTTTCCACGACCACGTCGTGCGAGCTGTCGTTGCAGAGGTACGACACACCCTTGAGCCCCGGCGCAAAGTCGGGGAAGAGACTCTTGGCGGCCACGCCTGCGTTCACGCTGACGAGCAAGCTCTTGGCAACGTCCGCGCTAATCGGCACGCTCACGATCTGCGGCATGAGGTTGCGCGTGTTGTTCTCCGAGAAGACCATGTCCACGGGCAGCCGCTCCATGAGTGGCACCGAAACATCGTCGGGCGTGGACGGATCTCCATTGCCCATGTAAACAGTGCCAAAGGACGCACGATCCGTGGGTGCATAAGGCCCGTTTGGCCACGCCTTGCCTTGCATACTGCCATTGTCCGCCGGATCACTAGCCCCGAACGTGGAATTAAGCGCGGCGAGGACCATGTGTACCTGTAGGTGAGAACGGCGACAGCGCCTGTCTCCTTGGCGATTTCGACTTTAGCCGCAAGCGAGATCCGACCCATGCGCACCAAGAGCACCTTGCCGTTCAAGTTGACGCCCGCAGCGCGCAGTCTCTACACGTCGTACGGGCCGTTCAGATTATGTGCTTCGTGTGCACAGGACGTACGTCGTAGTCGTTAGATCGGCCGTAGTGGGCGTACACGAGTTTGCCTTGGGCCGTTCCGTTCATCGAGTAATAGTGAAACGGAGTCACCTACGCCGGGTCAGTGGAGTACCAAGGTGTAGTTGTACCGAAGGCTTGTTGATGTAGGACTCGGAGAGGTCTTTGACGGCGCCAACAAGACCAACGCGTACCGACGAGGGTTCGTTGAGCAGAATCTCGTACTCGCTGAGCTTGATTTTGTCCTCTGGGAAGCCAAAGTCGAGCGCCTTTTGCATAATGTACTTGGCCATCGCGAGGTCACCCGTCGAGCCCGCGGCGCGCGACTCCTATAAGACACATGGGCATCGACGCATGCCCCATTACATGTACCTTGGTGTAGTACGCAAGCGTCTCTTTCGCGCCGGCAGCTTTGGTGGCGAGCATAAAGTTTCGCTGGTTTGGCGTGAGCGCGCTGCAAGATCCATTGAGTGCTAGCCCATGTCGCATGCTGTTAAGTACCTGAGATGCTCGTTGCCCGAGAGAACGCGGATCATGGCGATGCAGACGACGACGCTCAGGAAGAGCGCGGCCAGCGACGAGCACCCGATGAGCTTGCGCCGGCGCTGCTCGGCCAGCGAGAGCGTCGGCGGCTCGCGGCTGGCGCGGGGCGAGTCCGCGTACATGTTGCGCTTCTCGGCCGGGTCCGGGATCGTGAGGCGCGAGGGCCGACGCACATTGAGGACGACCTCTTCCTCCGTGTCGTCTTCCTCGGTGAACTGCTCGTGCTTCATTTTGCGCTCGAGACGACCAATCTGCAACTGCCCAAAGGTCGTTTCGGGCGAGGCGTCCGGATACGGAGCGGTGGTTATGCGGACTAACCGTTTCACGACGCGACGGTTTCTTTGCAAACACTGGATGGGAATCCAGCGTTTTCTTGCATCGTTTCCGACACAAGATCCAAACAACAAGCCTAGTCAGTCGTGTAATTCTTTCGTCTTGCGATTGGAGAGGGATGTTTAACTCGCAAAGCTAGGCATGACCACCAGCAGGAGGAGAGTACAAACTGAGGGCCGTGCAGCGTGAGCTGGCAGCAGCTTTTGCATGCAAGTCGAAGCGTTGACCAGCGGTGTGTGATGTGCGACCATCACTACGGTCAATGTACAATAGCTACAACGTGATGTTCTGGGAGCTCGTGGTGCTAAAGTGTGCAAGGACCAAGTACCTCGAACTGTGCAGCTGAAAGCGAAGAAGCAGTTCAGTTTTCAAAATGGAGCTCCAACCATTGATGATGGAGAGGATGAGTGGGTGTAAAAATAGCGTGATTGTCATCGAGCATGCGCCCCGCGCGCACCCCCCGGCGTGGCGTTCCAAATGAGCGAGTGTTGCGATCCGCGACACCACGCAGCCATGCGCATCCCGCGACCCCGCGCTTGCCAACCCCTCGGCCAAGCAGCGCCACTCCCGACCCCGAAATTGAAGTTATTTTGCCCAAGCTCAAGGTGCAGGGCGCCGTTGATGTGAGGAAGACACAGCCGTGTCTCTCGGCTCGACTCGTACCACGTCTTCAAGTCGCGATCGACAAATTAGACAAAGCCCGGAACCGAGTAGGCCTCACCACTGCATTTGGCCAAATCGGACTGAGTCGTCGTATAGCCCGTGGACCACGGCAGCCCACTGCTTACGAAAGCGCGGTTCCGGCAATGCTTTGACGAGGCATGCTACTCCAACACTAGGCTGTGATGGTTCGATCTTTTGTAGGTGGCAATGGACAACGATGAACGCGTCTTTAGCAGCGACATTGATATGCTCTTTATGTGCCTCGATACCGAGGGCACGGGCACGTTGCAACGGGGAGCGGTACGCTACCCATATCGCTGTCGGACGCAAACACGATTCATACATGCGTAGGTATCGCGGCAACTGGAGCACTTGAATGACCACGCACACTTTCACACGAGGGTCGCGGCGCCACCAGTCCACACGGAGAAGAAGCTTTCTCGGCGTCAGCGTCCGACGACACGCATTTACGAACAAGCGTCGTTCGAGCTACAAGCCCCGCCAAAGCAAACGGCACGGTCTCTTGCGTGGTAGCAGCGTGAGACCCATTTGTACAGAACCACACAGATGGCTTGCTGGTCATCAGTTTTTTGCCGAAACGGTTTGACTCGTGGAGACGCAAAACACAACAATGGTCTTTCCTACACTGTATCCGACTGCGCCCGTTGTCGCCCTGTAAAGACCACATGTGGCTGTTGGGCTAGAATGGTGTAGCAGCACCTTGCCGTGTGATGAGCCGTGCT